TGGTCCTGGTCCTGGTCCTGGTCCTGGTCCTGGTCCTGGTCCTGGTCCACTTTAAAAGTACATACAGATAAAAACCACAAAAAACTATATTTTTCATTACAATCTTGTCTCAACCTCATGCTAAATTGAAAAAAAAAAAAAATCAAAAATCAAATTAGGCATATTTTCATATTGTAATCAAAATTATTCTCATTTGCTCATTTGTTGGTTTTATTTGATTTTCTGAAGGTGAGGAGTTCGATCCTAACGAAGATAGTACCGAAGGTGTCAAACTACATCGCTCTATTTCCAAGGCAGAAGAAGAAGTTTGGAAAGAAGACGAAACAACAGAAAACGCGTTCACTGATTGCGCTGCCAAAGTTATAGCCGAGAACTTGACAGCATCAACAAGTGACGAAGAATCATCGACCCAAGAGGAAGATGATGAGAATCTGAGCTTACCAACTAATGAAGAAAATTTACATCAAAACGTAGATATTCTTACCGTCGAGGGAAGGCCGTCCGGCGATTTAGGTGAGGATACAAAAGAACAAAATAGAGAGAGCCCTCTTCAATTTGAAGCTATTGAAATAACGAGTCAAGAAGAACAAGAAACGCCTGAAAATGCCTCTGAAAACCAAATGCCTCAAGAAGTCGTAGAAAAGGCAACCTACATGTTACAGAACTTAAAGGCTATGGATGATGATGAGTGCATTCATTTGATGACAATGGATTTCGCTGGGCAACCCGTCTATCAGGCTATTCATCCAGTGTTCCTTTCTCCAAAGGGAATCTATATATTGGTGCACAGTTTGAAAAATGATGTTCACGATCTAGCACAACCTGTGGTAAAACGTGGTTCTTTGCAACCGCGTAAAATCGATGATAATTGTCCAATGACCAACATGGATCATTTGGAGTTTTGGTTATCTTTTGTGGCATCAAATGCAACTACAAAAGACTATAAGCCTCAAAAAGAACCACCGATTCCAGGATTTAATCTTCCGAGGAAATTTCCGCCAGTATTTTTGGTCTGTACGCATGCAGATGAACCTTTTGAAATGCAAAATTCAGAAGAGGTTTCTCAAACGATCCTTGCCCACTTGAAAAGAGAGGAAAATCCATCGGGAGAGCATTTGGTACATGCTATATATCCTGTTGACAATACCGTATCGGGAAGCAGTGAAAAAACAGAAAACAAATTTGTCAAAAAACTAAGGGATGATATTCGAGTAACAGCTGAAAACCTTCCACAAATAGGGGAAGACATTCCAATCCGTTGGCTAAAGTTTGAAAAGGAGCTTTCAAAATTGGAGCATAAAAGATACATAACTCTTGAAGATGCCAAGAATATTGCCAATAAATGCCAAGTTGATCTGGAGTCGGATGAGCTTGACACTCTTTTAAACTATCTGCACGACTTAAAAGTCATCATCTATTTTGAAGATACGAACATGATCATCACCGATACACAGTGGTTGCTTGACATGTTTGTCAAAGTTATCACAGTCCAGCCTTTCTTAAAATGGCAACCGGGTTTTGAAGCCTGTTGGAGAAAGCTCGAAAATAAAGGGATTTTAGAGCGAACACTCGTAGAACACCTTTGGAGTGATGTGGCAGACGAGCACAACACGATTGATGTTTTACTTACAGTCATGGAAAAGTTTTCTTTGTTGTGCAAATGGAAATGTTTGGATGGATCTGAAGTATTTCTTGTTCCAGCTATGCTGGTAAACAGCGCTGCAGAAAGTTGTAACGAGTTACTAGCTGACCAACAGTTAACGATTCCACTAGTAATTAAATTTACGAAAGCACACCTTCCTCTTGGTATCTTTCCGAGGATGTTGGTAGCGATCGCTGAGTTTTGCAACAAGAAACGGCCAGGATCACCACTCCCAAAATTCTTCCACAATTTTTGCAGGTATGCATGTACCTAAACTTACCTCGTTTTGCTGCAGCAATATATTAAATATTCCACCTTGATTTTTGTTGTTTTTTYCATATATTTTTAGATTTTATGATGTTGGCGGGGAAAATGGCTCCTTGGACTTGCTCGTCACATCTGACATGAGAACCATTACTGTTGGTGTCACACCTTTTTCTACCGGCAATGATCTTGATCACGATTCAGACCTGATTATGGACTTCTGCCAGTTGATTAAAGATTTCATTAACAACACCTTGAATGATATGAGAACACACTGTCCTTGGATGATGACTATGGGCTTTGAGTTTGGTATATGTTGTCCAATTTGCTGCCAGTCATCAAGACCTTGTAGCTGCCACAAAGTCAACGCCTGCATGCGTGACACGTGCACACATTTCATCCCTGAAAAAGAGCTACCTCGTTGTTACAATGACCCAACAAATAGCAAAACATCTATTAAGGAGGAATCTTATCGTCATTGGTTTCCCAAAACAACAGAAGATGTAAGTTATAACACCATCACCATCGCCATCACCAACACCACCACCTTCACCACCACCATCACCATCACCACCACCACCACCACCACCATCACCACCACCACCATCACCATCACCTTCACCATCACCATCACCATCACCATCACCATCACCATCACCATCACCATCACCATCGCAATCACCATCACCACCACCTTCACCACCACCATCACCAGTAATACACAACTAGCAGTATAATAACTTCTGCTTATTGTTAATATTAATTCTGCAATTCATTATTTTATAATTAAATTACTGATAAATAAGGCAAATAATATATGATTGTAAATATTTTTTTGAATTTCATAGCCAAATGACCCAGTACTTTTCAGTCTTATGGAAGCTTTGAATCTATCAGACAACATTTCGATGCCCGGAGGTAAGTCATGGTTCAGTCTATGCAGGTTTCTGTGAAACAAAATAAAAGGATTTCGTATGACTATCAGAGAATGGATAAAAGTAGGCACGCATTTCATGCGTCTTCCAGTGTTAGTCAATAATTAATGTCCATAGCTAAGGATCGAATACTTCAACTGCAATAACAAGTATAGACTCRTGCGTCTCACATTTACGCTACAATTTGAGGTAACTTTTTACTTTTTCCTGATTTCTGTTACAATGACTTTAGACCAATTGTTAACTGTAATGCAATGCTAGGGATATCCACTGTTTTTGAGATTTTTCACTGAAGCTTTTGCGTGATATATAATTATACAGCTTCTCATTAATCCCATATAGGAAACTGTCCAATAATTTTTTTAATTGGACAGGTCTTGTTGATATGGGATTAATTAGGCAGCTATATAATTAATAGGTAATGAGATTTCATGCTCCCCAATCAAGAAATAATTAGACTCGAAAAATTCCTCTGACTCACAAATTGGACTCGGCCTACGGCCTTATCCAATTTTGTCAGTCCTCGGAATTTTCCTCGTCCAATTATTTCTTAATTCTATTACATATACTTAGACCCCCTTTGATAGATCTTCCATGTTTCTCTTTGTCTTTTTACGTTTTTGTTTGCTTGTATATTTTGCAAGGTAACACAAACCAGGAATTAGTCACTGTTTGTGGTACGAAATCGTCACTCATGCGAAATATCGATGCCGAGAGCTTTGCCAAGCAATTGGCTGCCCTCCTAAAGCTTGACAAATCGTCATTCCAAGATCCTCCTGAAGAAACTGTAAAGAGCTGTCGAACGATGTGTATCTACCTCAAAAAAGAGAGAAGAGTAGACATAATTAAGGAACTTAGAAAGATATTGCCCAGTGGCATGACAGGTAAGAGAAAAGGCTTCTAGGATTTAATTCTCGAAAGATTCTTCATACATATCTTTTTTTTCTTTTCATTTTACTCCCTTGAAAATRAGGATTTTCATTTGAGTTACCTTATATACAATTGAAGACCCATTGACACTTACCGTGATGCACCGCGGTCACAGATGAATTTCGTGGTCCATGAAATTCAAAGATTCATATATTGAATAATAACTTCATATTAAATCCTTTTCCGACATAGCACTAAGGCACAATAATCATTCTTTTACATTCTTTTAAGAGTTTATTCAAAAGGTTAGAATTGTTTTTTCAGTGGTAACACGATTCAAAATGTAAACAAACTGTGATGCATCACGGTAAGTGACAATGGGTCTTTAAGTATGTTCTTAGTCGTTACCATGCGCAGCAAGAATAAACCCATCTGCCTGTGGCGTAATGTTTTTCAATTTCAGACAACATGTCATTTCCTATACAAATTAGCCATTCCGAGGTTGGTATTTCAGTGTATTTTGGGAATGTTTTACGTACACTGTAGCTGGTATTAAGTTAAAGGATATATTTTATGGGTATTTCACGGAGAAATCTAAAATCTAATTCCAAGATTGGTTCTAATGTTTAAACACAGGGACACTTACAAATGAAAATGTACTAGTGGGAGACATGATCGGCAAACTAGAAGACCTTACTCGATCTTTGTGCGGTAAGAAACTATTTCAAATAAACATAAGCTAAGCATCTGATGGAACTGTATTTTCATGCATGAGTCGCACATTATTTTGGCAAGCCTTCAGACAACCAAAAGTTTGTGATAATTAAAATTACGCAGTCTTACTGAGATGCTTAGAAGAATATTATACTATTATGCAATAGTCGCTCCTTCACTGTTCCCTGCTCCATCTTGTTGAAAGGTAGCCGTGCCTTAGCATCGAGGCGAGACGGTCGGTGAGATTGTAATATGAAGACATGTGAATAATTGTTCCAGGTGTTAGGAAAATGTCTTTATCATATCATTTCAAGCTCACGGCTACCTTTCAAGATGGCGCAGGTAACTGTGAAAGGGATTCTTCTACAAAGAAGTTTGACCATTTCTTCTATTATCACTTAATTTCGACTCTTCGTGACGTGAAGGAAAGCCATTCGAGTCTTACTAAGTGATACAGTCCTACATTTTGTGCATTTATATTCATATTTAGTTTGTTCTTTACAGAATGTTATAATAATATGTCACATGTTAAATGTTATTTTTCCAAGGCAATGACTTGTGGAAGAAAATGGCCGATCACCTCGGCATTCGTCGCTGCCATTTTGGGTTTCATGAAGACAAGAAGAACGCCGCAGAGAGTATATTAGAAGAAGTTTGTCGCAAAAGAAGACTTACAATTGGAGATTTGTATGATGTACTCTGCAAGTGTGATGTCAATGCACTTGCTGACGAGTTCTTGTAGCCTTGCGTCGTCCTTTCGTTTATATTAGTTTCACTAGACCAAACTAGGACTATCGAAAATCACAGATTTGGAACAAGTGCATTTTGTTGTAAAAGGTTCCTGCCAAATCTCCAGCAACTTTTGATTATCAGCAAAACCCAACGATAAATATATTTTCGAGCGCTGTCATTGGTTCAAATGTGTCACGTGCAGGACCGATATCACACGACACCCCGTTCGAAGTGATATCCATCCAGTTAATAGATATAAATACGTAAAAACAAAGAGAAAAAAAAGCATAGGAAAACAAAGAAACTAGGTTTTCACAAACAAGTGAGAGTGAAATAAAAAACTAGTTGAGAAAACTACGCCAGCAAACCAAAAAATTCATTTAAAAAAAACAATCTGTAGATGATGATTCGTAGCCTTGAGTTAGCTACGTCTAATCCAGCGGAGTGGTTACAATATCTAATAAATCCCTACTGGCTCACCTAAAACAATATACTCACAAAGGACGTTTCTAGCACAGTTTAATCTTTTATTACCGTATTTACATGTTTACCTATTAAACAAGTAATCCCTTCTGGCTCACCTAAAACAATATACTCACAAAGGACGTTTCTAGCACAGTTTAATCTTTTATTACCGTATTTACATGTTTACCTATTAAACAAGTAACCGTCCTGGTGTATCATGACGTAAGAAGACAGTAAAGAGAAAAGAATGTTTCTGGACCCATATACATAATGTGTAACCAATAGATTTAATACAAAGTGAATACGACCGTTTTAAAA